TGGATGGCTAATAAATTTTTCAGACTCGCCAACATAAATCCACATGGCCAGCAACTCGTACATATTTCATTGGGGCTCGCCTCTCGGCGAATTCCCGCTCGATTTTGGCCCTACATGAGCGCTGCTGAGTTTCATTTCCTTGGCACTTCCTCGCAATACTTTTCCTTTTTTAATATGCTCATTCAATTTACTTCGCCAGCCCCTTTCGACTGCTTCTCGATTATTGATGACATGACAAACAAGGTACGATTTCCGCTCGGCGTTCGGGAAAGGAGAAGTTCGAGAATCATTTTTCTTTCGGCTCGATTGTATTTGTATGCGCATTAACTTCATTTTGCAATCATGCGCGCCATAAATCCAATTTAATTGTGCTGCTCACTCACACACACACATAGAGCCGTATAGAGCTGGAGCACACAGATACAGATACCAATACCAAAACACACGCATGAGCTGCTTGAGTGCACGGCGGCGTATACTTAATTTTTGCTCGCTCGTGCGCTCAATTCCGCTTCCTCGCAACTTCTAACTCAATGCTAAATAGAAGCACATAAATTTCCGTTCCAACCATCCCCTCTCGATATCCGGTTTCAGATTTCTTTGGATTGCATTTTGAAAAATAGATTTTTTATACTGTTGCTCCTCTTGGGTTTTATCTACCTGTCTCTGTTCTGCCTCAGCGTCTATCTCTGTCCCCCATTGATTTACTACGCACAATTTTGTACCTTTTTGAGGGAACGGGAACGGGAAACGGAAATGGAAATGGCGGAGGTCTGCAGGTCCAGTTCGAGTGGCTCGTTGTGATTTATGTTTGATTGAAATGCTCTAAATTGTATGCTAATCTGGACTTTGACACAAAGCTCATTTGTTGTTGCCCCCGCACTGACTCTTCGACTCTCCACTGCAATCGCATTTAAATGTTGTGCTTGGCTTTTGGCAGTTTGCCTAAGCGTTTGCTAATTTGAAAACCATTTCGGTTTCGAGCTGCCATCAAGGGGTTGCTTCTTCGAATGCTCGGATCATTTGTCAGGATTTCGCAGGGAGTTCTCGGCTTGAATTCAACACAATTGAGTTCGCTTTGGGGGGGGAGCATTTCTTGGGAGTCTGTTAATTGCAGAGAAGTTTAAGTACTTACGAGAAATTTGGCAATGAAAAATTGATTATGGGTTCGGTGAGTTATTGAGATTTGTGGTCAATAATTCAGATGGTTTCCTGAAGTCTTTAGGGTGCTTTTAAGTCACAGGGTTTTTGTTTTAAGGCAGGCACTATAACAGTTATCACTTTAAAATAAAATCCTTACTACTTTTTTATTTTTGTCATTTTATAGATTAGTCATAAATAACTTCCATGAAAGACTTTTACTTCAATTGTCTAGAAAAGACTATTAAAAGATTTGTTAACTAACAGTCATTTATATAAATCAGTGCATGACTTTTATGGTTTTAAAAAAGTTCCTAAGACACTTTGAATGTGAGCTTTAAAATAAAGGTCGTTTTTAAAATATCTTGCAAAAAAAAGCATTAGAAAAATACAAATAGATATCTGAAGTCACCAATTCTTTTTTCTCTTTGGATAACTATAAGCTCAACCAATATATAAAGACAGTTTTTCCTTTTCATTAAAGCTTTCCATTTGTTGCATCCTTTAAAATTGAAAATGCCCTGATGGCAGGATAGATAACCCCTTATAATCACGTAGCAGCCATCAAAAGTTGATGTGATTGCTGACATTATGTGCAGCTGGCTGGGCGCGGTTGCTTCTCTAACTCTTGGCCATAAATTCCGGCGGATCTCCGTCCACCAATTTCCTGTCGCATGCCCTGCTAAGTATGCTATATCGTTTTTTTTTCTTTTTAATAAGTCAAACAACTGTCAACTGCGAGGGGAAACAGCTGAAATTCAGCAATAAATTGCCGTGAGTGAGTCAGAGTGGAGCATGCTTCATTAATGCGACAAGCGTGAGGGGCTGACCCCTGACCCCCGACCCTTAACCCTTTACCAGCCCACTCTTGCCACACACACACACACACACACAAACAACCGGCACAATTGGCTGCACTTGTGTGTCCACTTAGTTGGGCGAACAAAACCCACAATATCCACATGGCCGAGTGGTTGCACTCAACCCTTTCACCCCTTAACCCCACACCACCCCATTAACCCACCACTGGCCAGTGGCCCTTCATGTGTGGTTAAGTGAGCTCCGTGCGGCTGGCAGTTCTGTTTTATTTTTGCCATTTTTGAGTTATGCGCGGCATTTCCGGTCTTGTCATTTCATACTAATCAACATCCGTTGAGCGGAATTTTCGGGGCTGGCAGGCACTTTGGACTGCATTATTCCGCGGCCCCCATATTTCAGGGGGATAATATTTTCTGGCCCGCATTATACGGCATTTGTTGCAGCATTTGCCATTGTAATTGCAACAGTGCGTATAAGTGATGTGCATATAAATTAGATTTGCTTCGCTGCGGGTACTCAGCCATCGGGGCAAAAAGTCCAACTATGGAAATTGAAAATTTATTGCATACCCCGTGGCCAGCCACTCAGTTGGTGGTGTGGGTGTGGCTGTGGATGTGGTTTTAGCCAGGTTGGCTTTGGTTTTTCGGCCTGGCTTTCATTACAAATTACGCATACGCACCGTTGTTAATTTCATATTCATAAATGATGGCCGCACTCCTTGGGGAAATTGCATGAAGCACTTCAGCTTTGCGGTCCTTTATGCCACAGGTCCCATTCGCGTGTGTGTGTATTTTATTTGTAACCCCCAAAAAAAAACAGGATATGGTTAAATTATGCGTCAGTTGAGGCCTTTCACTCGGTCGTCTTTGATCTCCACCCTCCAAGCTTTGTGGCAAATCTCCGCTTTTTGGTCTACTCCAACTAGCCAAAGCTTGGGCCAACATAATCCGGTACATTTGAGTCCTGAATGCTCTCTTAGGTCCAGTCCACTTGAACCAGCCCCAAAAACCAAGCTGGCCATCAAATCCCCAGAAAGTCCAGGCCATAAACATAAAAACCAAAAGGGCACAACTCTCTCTCAACTACTGCTTCGCTGGGGCATTGAGTACTTTGTTGAATTAAACCTCTAATTAGTGGAAGCGGTTTTTGGCCGGGATTGAAGGTTGCCCAGGGACATCTGGAATGACTAATGAAAATTTCTTTGAGTTTTTTAAAGATTTACCCCTCTAAGAAGGGGCTCAGAAGAGCTGCAGCTATCTTGATTAAAAATGTTTATTAAGCCACCCAGCTTAGGCAAAGCAAGGAAGTGAGCTTTAGATACAAAAATGAAGGATGTTATGGATTTGGAAAATTTGTAAGGGCAGCAAAATCTCCGAAAGCCTAAGCAAGGCTATAGGGTTTAATAAACTCTTAGGGAATTTTATTAAAAGGTTTTAGATACAGGAAATTAGAAGAGAAAAACGAAAAGAAGTAATCATTGTTCGGTTTCAACAGAAAAAAGGACAATATTAAAATGTAGTATTGAAAATTCACAGAAGTATTAGGCAATTCAGAGAAGGTGTTTTAATTTTACTTTAAAATAACCTTTTAAATTATTAACAAATATAAGAATTTAATTTAGAAAACAGGATCTTATTGCGGGAACTTCGTTTGAGTTTCAGATATGGACGGTATCTATTTTTAATACATGAAGTTCAAAAGAGATAAAGATGATATTAAACTCTTTTCAAATAAACCCACCTTTTAGTACCAAAGTTCAACGAATTCCGTATGCTACCAAGAACATATTGCTCCTTTTAGATGCATGGCAGTTATCACTTGCGCGTTAGCAACTTCAGTTTTTATTACACGACACGACATTCCATTCGGAGTAGTCTGCCCTTTTAGTGCCGACTCACCAATAAAACTGCATTGTGTCTATAGAACCCGGGCAAACAAATTAGTTCTGGCCCAGACACACACACACTGAGTAGAAAAGGGGCGTTTGGGGCATCAAAATATTAGACGCGTCAATAGCTCTGCACATTTTGCGCTTTTGCATTTGGAAGGCAATCGGGGCGACAAGTTGAACGACATCGAAGGCTGAATGGAGGGTGCATTGCCAATTCAATGGAACAAAAAGTGCATCCAACTCTGATGATGACGACGATGAGGATGTCGATGATATGGAAATGTGTGTTTAATTGTTGTTTACAAATTGTCTTTTTGTTGCTGCTGCCGCTGCTGCTCGTCAATAAACATTTGCCTGATAATATGCCAACATATGCATAACGCTCATAAGTAGCTTACATTCATGTACCCTAAATGCTACCAAGCACTGTGAGAAATTTCCCCAAATAACTGGATTTTTCCATACAAAATTACCCATATCTAAGGTTTAGACAAAATACTTTATTTGAATATCACAAAAAAATTTAAAATAAATTATTTTAATATATATATATACAATATATATATTTCATTTTATTATTTAAGAAAATAATATTTTATTTACAATTTATGTATCAAGCTAAACACCACAAAAAAAATTAAATTTGTATATATTATTTTTTTTTTTAATTTTTGTACCAAATTAATATATTAATATAAATATTAAAATTTATGGTGTTTTGTTTGTTACAAAAATTGTAAATAAAATATTATTTTTTAAAATATTAAAATAAAATATTTTTTAAGGGTAATTAAGGTGTAATTTAAGTATTATTTTCAAAAGATTTTGCAAAGAAATATATATAAGTAACACATTAAAAACCACAAGATTTGATTATCTAAATTAAACTCGGGTTAAGACTTACAAAAATTATTTTTTTAAATTAAAAAAAGCCATTAAAATAAGTCCAATAAGGAAATTTTACATTTATTTTGATAAATATTAATGCAGTAATTTCTCAGTTTACTAGGAAATAAATAACAATTGATACAAAAATGTTGATATTTAATGAAGATTCCAATTAAACTAGGATGGGTTCTTACCATTAACTAACTAACATTAACGACAATCTAATATTTATTTTCCCTACATTTTTCTCTCCGTGCAGCAGAGCTGCAGCAATATCAACAGCAACAGCAGCAGTCGAGCAAACACCAGGCAAATGGAGCTGTCCTCACTGGCATGCAGTCGCATCACATACGCGGACCACGCCCACCGCTGCGCACCGCCTCCTCGACGACAACGAACAGCAGCAGCAATAACTCCGCAATGGGCGTGGCCATGGGCGGGGGCGGCGGCAACAACATGCTGCTGGACCAAACGCCCTCCGGCGGCAGCAGCAGCAGCGGGGTGAGCAGCGCCCCCAGCTCCTCGAAGGGTCACCACACCCACTCGCACTCCCACGCCGCCCACCTGGTCCACTCGCACGGCGACGGCCTCGTCCTGACCTCCGCCTCACCTGTGGGCGGCCAGCAGCAGCATCCGCAGCAGCAGCAGCACCCGCAGCAGCACCAACATCCGCAGCAGCAGCAGCAACAGCAAGTGCCGCAGGCGGCCATGGACGAGATGCGCGTCTGATAGGTATCGGTCTTTGAGTTGGACTTATAGTCATCAACGGGGTAAGCTATCTATGTGTATTTGATACAATCCTAACAATCCTATGCTATATCATACTATCATCACACCATCATATTATTTTTGAACTTTTCCTTATATATCTGTTCTTTATTAAAAATTTCGTGGAATCTAAAATCTGTCTCAAGTTAATAAGCACTTCTCAAATTAAGGATTTTAGAGGATCACACTTTTTTTTTACGAATTATATTCTGTTTACCCTTGCTTAATATGCCAATTTTTAAATAACTTATTGACATTCAGCAACGAAGTGAGGCTTTATACATTTTAAATTTATATAAAAGCAGCAATGTTCTTAATTTAGTTATATTTATTTATTTTAATTGTGAACTTTGTATAACTGATGTCCAATTCAATAGCTTTATCGAAATGGAATATTTACATTTTCCCGACTGCTGTATTTATTTTTGTTTTCTTTGTGATTTTTTTAAAATGGCTTTTTTTAATATGAAAAATAAACGGTTATAATGACCCTTAAAAACCTTTAAGGCAAAAAAATATATGTAACTCTATACATTTTTTTTGGCTATAGTGATAATGAAAATACAAAAAATTGGGTAAAGTAGTTCAATCGAGAATTCAATATTCTACAATTTACACGAATGCTTAAAAAAGCCAATATTCAGTCGTGGTAAAAGATGTATTTTTTAATATTTAAATCCATTTCATCAATATGGAGAAAAAAAATTATAGGCAAAAAAAAACATTTTTTTTAGGACAGAACGATAATGAAAATAAGTAATATAGGATAAAATTTTTCATATATTTTTTCAGAGAGATAATTTGGTAGTCTCTAATTTTAAATTTGTAAAATGTTAGTTACTCTTCCATTTTAGTCATCTCAGTATTCAAAACTTCATTATCATTATCAGACTTGCCTTCTCGTATTTTCGTTGATTCTTCTTCCGATTTCAACACTATATCATTTTCTTTTGAGCAGTCCTCTTCGTCTTCATCAACCTCCTCTTCCGTTTCCTCATCATCCTCATCTTCTTTCTTTATTAGAGGGTTAGAACTTAGGGGATTCTCGGTAAACTCGTAGGTAATTTCTCCAAACGAATTTATTTTCGCATATTCATACAGATAGTATTTATTATTCAGTTCGCGTATTATACCAAAGCGAAGTCCGACTGTTAGGGCCTTCTTCAATTCTTTGGTGTAATATTTGGGACGACACGTGGAGTCCAAGGTGGTGAGGACGAACTCCAGGATGTCCTGCCAATCGGTCGGTGGGTCAAGCTTCTTTAGGGCGAAAGTGAGGTAGTGAGATATAGTGAGGGTCTCCATTTCCCTCCTTTTTTCAGCTTTCTAAGGAGACAAAAAAGACATTGACAGGAAACAAACAGAACAATTTGAACAATTTAAAGTCAATACTGGGAAAATTTTCTTTAAAATGTAGTTCCTGGCCAAAAAAAAGGTATGACAAACATGCCGAACCCTTTAGAGAGCCGAAAAAAGCAAAGGTCGTGGACGGGACATCCCAAAAAGGTAAAATAAAATATCTGCGCACACAGGCTCTGATCAAAAATAACAAACGGCATGTCAAACATGCGGCAGCAAAAAATGCTGGCTCTTTATTTGATAAAAAAAAGAGGATAAATAAAACATAAATATGCATGGAAAGCACTGAGTTCATGGTTCAAGGTGGACTCAAATGTCGCAGTCACTGGCATGGAAAAATGCCAGTGAGTGGGCGGCAAAAATACCCACAAAAAGGGGTGAACTTTAATGGAGAGTTTTTTCGCAGAAAAAAATAAAAATACAGAACAAGTAACTACGAATTAAATAATATAGAGGTAGAAGTAATAATGCCAGAGCCGAGGAGGGTGAAATTATAAACGAAATTAAAAATGGAACCACCAGACCCAGCCATAACAAGTGGCAAGGTGCAAGGCAATTTGCGGCATGCAACTTGAAACCGAGCACCCAACTAATTTATGAGCCCAAAGTCGGACTCTGGAAATTCGAGCTAAACCAAATTAAAACTGCAGTGTGGCCAGGAAAAAACTTAAAAATTGCATTAACTGGAAGCAAGCTGTGTAACCAGAACTGGGCCCCAATTGCATTCCTGTCAACTCAAAGGAAAATGGCCAAACCATGAAATTATTTTGGCAGTAAAAGGTAAAAGCAGTTAGAGTAGTTCTCCAAAAAACCACTCTCGACTTCCTGGGATTTATGTTTAGCCTGATTTCAATTTGGGGCCTTAGTAAATTATTATTGCTTTAGCAGACTTCACTTTATTAATGTGACCATGTCTATATGAGTTTTTGGAGGGGAGATTAAAAATGGTCTAAAATAATAATGCACTTTTAGTGGGATTTTATTACTTTGAAAAGTTCAATCAAACATTTTAAAACATTTTATTTTATTCCATGATAATATTATGAATAATAAAGATATATATATATGTATACAATGAGGTACAAAAATTGACTTAAAAAGTAATACATATCTAGTGGTATTTCGATATATATTGTTATCTTTCTTAGAAAATTCAGTCGACAAGATACAAAACTATTCATTTAATTCAAGAAGAAGAGTAATATAAGCAAAGTTTAAGTGATTTTCATTAAAGTACACCTTATAGGCAAATATATCTCTTTAAGTATTACATATTATTTATTAAATCCGCCAGAAAGGAAGCCCTTCTCCCCACCCATATAAACCTGGTCGAAAAGATCAAGCCACTTTGCTGTCCGCTTTCAGCCACTTGTAAATGTGTGAGTGGGTGTACGTGGGTGTTCGTAGGTGTAAGTGGGTGTGAGTGGGTGGGTCAGGACACTATTTCACCTGGCGTACAATTAAATTTGCATTTCTTTCCCTTTTTGTTTAACCCACGTTGCCGGCGCAGCCTCCGCCTTGGTTTCCTTAACTTTTAGCTGATTAACATTTCTGCGCCGTTCTCTTGGCGCGGTGGAAAATGCAATTTTCCCATCCAGCTAAAGTGAACACAGGGGGGGGGGGGGACACAGGGGGCACAGGGGGCACAGAGGGCAGAGGGCAAATGGCAACTTTTATGTAAATTTACACCCACAAACACGCACACGGGGGGCGGGTGTCGAAGTGTGTATGTGTTAAAAGCGCAATAAACATTAATTTCACATTCTTTTTCCTTAAGCCACTCCACTTTGAGCTCCTTACACTTTGTTTAAGAATATTTTTGGCACTCGCTTAAATTATGATCAAAAGGTTGGAGAATTGGAAAATGGTGAAAAACCCACACAATTTTCCCTGAGTAGATTCGGACAATTTCTTTGATTGCATTGCGTAGGGAAAAACAAACAGCGCAGAGTCCTTTGAGAGTTTCAGCAAATTAATAGTACGATTTGCCAACAAGCAAATGACTTAAATTTAATCACTTGGTAAATTTTGTGGAATTTCTTAAGCCTGTCTTTGCATTTAATTTGGCCAGCAAACATAAATAATTTAAATTTACTTGTTTGCACATCGGCACAATTGATGTGACCATCTAACGCATTTCTAACCAATTAAGTCAACAAATACATGAAAATACTGCTCGAATTTCCCATTAATTTTGACTAGACGTAAAACTTATCGTATTCGGTTACCTTGTTTGACAATGGCTGCCATCGGTTGTGATTTTTGGGTAATTATTACGAAAATATCATGTTTAAAGTGGCTTCAGGCTGTCAAGTTTAGGTGTTGCAAAATACTGCGAAATATTTATAAAATTCTCTGCTTAAATTACATGGGTATACTGCGAAATATTTATAAAATTCTCTGCTCAAATTACGTGGTAAGAGAATCTGTTTAAACACATATTCTCGCAAAGCCTTGTGGGCTAAATGTGTTGTGCAATTAGCGCCAAACTTTCAGGTTGCATCATCAACTGAGAGCCATGGATTACGTTACGATAAGGGATTAGCTTTCAGATTCCGCACATTATATGGACTTCATTTAGCCATGTATATATGACTCAATGGCCATACAACAAGTAACCATATTATTATTTTTGTATGAAATATTTTGAAAAAGATCTATAAATATTTTTTATTAATCATTTTTTGAGAGTTTTATCTAAGATTAAAGCTTTATATTTCATAAAAAGATTTTACAAATGTTCTTTATCTTTTTATACAACTTTCAACCAGAATGTTCTTTCTTATTGTTTTGTAAATTTTTGTTAAATTAATTTAATAATAATCTTTAAAATATTTTAAACACTTAATAGATATATTATATATTATTATATATATAAATATATAAAATAATATTTGAAGAGCTTTTGACAAAATTAAACCTTATAAAAGGGAGCTCCCTTTTAATACATCAGAATGAATTTGATGTCTTAATTTTTGTGTCACTTTTAAAAAGTTTTCAGATATTTATCATAACAATTATTGGACTATAGTTTAATAGCTTTAAAGACCTTAAAGTACAGCACCATTATATTGAAACTTGTTATGCTGTTTATGCGGTTTAAATTTATACCACCTAATAATTCTCCTCTTTTTATTTATGATAATGAATCTATGAACCTGAGCAAATTTCCGACACTTGAGTGATGTTAATTATTTCTGGGGGAATTTAAAACCCGTCAGCTGCCTCAATAGACCACTCAGTCCCCCCTCCCCCCTTTGGCCCCTCTTTAGCATCACAAGATATGCAAAGTGGCTGCACAAACATGCGCGTAATACGTTAATGATGGTCCCTGCCCTTTCCCCTTTCCCCATTTCCCTGCTTTTCCATAACGCCCCCTCAGACCCCCTGTTTTCCACCCGTAACTTGCACACATTGTAGCAGCGATTTGCATTACGCGCATTACTCAGTTCACTCATTTTGCAGGGGCATCTTTTTCTTTTAGTTTTGGTATCTTGCAAGGAGAAAGTCTAAGCTGCATAGCTGGAATCACCACCCCCCTCGAAAACCACTCACTACCCCTTTTTTCCCCGCTCCTGAACCCCAGTCAACAATCTGCGCCAAATTGTGCGCTCAACTGTGTAGGAGAGCCAAGTCTCCCCCTTCCTGAACCCCCCACCCCCACCCATTTTAACCCTTGCCTTGGAGCCACCCAATCTAAGAACCCTCCTAACACCAAGAACCACCCACACAACCCATCCCAAAAACCCAATGGCCAAAGAGCTGGCAAAACAAAAGGCAGCCGCGCATTTTTCGCAACTGCACTTTACTTTGCACTTTTCGCTTTCTTTGCATAAATTCTCGCCCACCCGAGTTTACTGTACTGCAAAAATGGGCACGCATAGCGAAAAAGAAAGAAAACAAATCGGCAGTAAAGTGTCGCGAGATTAGACTAGAAGATACCCTATATTTTTGGAAAAATATCACCTATTTCGGATCATTTTTCCTAAATTTATTATAGTCTATCTGGAAAACCAAAACAAAATCAGAAATTGATTCCTTATTCCATGTTTATGGGCTTTTTAAAATACAAATTTTATTTCGCTTACTTAAATTACTTGCTTTTATTGAGAAGAAATGTTCTTGAATATTCTTTACAGCCAAGAACTGTTTCACAGTTCTTTATTATAGTCTATCTGGAAAACCAAAACAAAATCATCAGTTAATTCTTTATTCCATGTAAATGGGCTTTCTTGAAATATTGAGAAGAAATGTTCTTGAATATTCTTTATTATCAAGAAATATTTTACAGTTCTCTCTGGATAATCATAAACTTTGCCCTCATTTAAATCTATTTAAAATACAACGCAATAGGAAGCTATTTTAACATATTTTAATTGTTGTACTTAAATGACTTGGTTTAATTTTTAAGAGCTTTACTGTTATATTCTTGAAAAATATATAAAGGTATTTTTAATAATTTTGGGCATTCTCGTCAAGAGAAAAAAGGAATTGAAAAACCTTAAAATGCTATTTATATATAATGAAAACTAAAATCAAAAACTGCTCTAAACCATATTACTTAAATTCAATCTATCACTAATCCGAAATACCCCTTTCAAAATTTCTGGCGTACTCGGTGCAAAAACACAAACAGCGGTAGTTGAAGAAAAAGTTGAGGAAGAGAGCGTAGGAAAAAGCAGGGGAAGCTGAATAAATATGGCATGCAGCTGCTGCAGAAGATTTCCCGCTGAATTTTAAACTAAACACAAAAGCATAATGGAAAAATGGAAAGCGCCAACAGAGCGCAATGAAGTGTACGGCATGAGAACGGCGTAACGTCAACGAATCCGCGACCAAATGGAGCCGAGTTCCAGATAGGACAGATATATAGATATAGCGCGGCCAACTGAGTGGCACTGATGGGTCTGATGGGTCTGCACTTCTGGCAGGCACTGTGTCGTTAAGGTTGATGTCGCCGCGGGGGGTTTGGTTAAAACAGGGGGAAAAGTCATGGTTGCAACTGTCAGTCGAACGGCGAACCCCTCTGAAAGTCTTAGATGAAGTGCAGGGACTCACGAAACCACTCATAAAGTCATACACATATCATTCATCTGAGCAAGAAATGGTTTTCCAAACTACTAAGCAATAAGATAAGGTCAATAAGTTATTTACAACTCAATTTTGAAAGAGGGCTTGGGTTCTTTTGCACTCATTTAAAGTAAAAAGCATTGAATAAATATTTTACAATTTAATAAAAATTATTTTCACTGCATTTTAGTTTGGTAATAATGAAATAAATTAAACATTTTATTTGTCCACTTTAAAGTTGCACTTCGAGTAAGTAGTAACTAAAATGATAATAGTTTTAATGAGCCAATAATAATTTTAATAAGTTCATTACATAATTATGAATAATTAATTAATTAAATAACAATTAAATGAGACAGCTTTTAAATCCTTTTCATTATTTTGGAATCACTCAAAATGACATATTATCCGTGAAAATTTACTACATAATTTTGCCAGAAGCTTAAAATGATTAAATTCATTTAAATGTGAATAAGGCAGTCTTTAATTTTTTTATTTAAACATTTATAATTGTTTTTATTAAGGCCACATATCATAAATATTTATGAAGATATTTTTTATATTTATTTATATTTCACCTATTTTTAACTTATTTAAATTTTCTGTAAAGTGGAAAGTGGCAGCTTTAATTTAAAACTCCAACATTTCTGTTGCAGCTCCATAGAAACCCTGCGAGCGGAAACGCCGGAGGAGTTCTATGCACCGAAGCAGGCGGATGATGACGGCCAACTCAAGGGGACACCAGCAGATGCAGATGCAGATGCAGATGGCGATGCCGAGGGGTTGGGAGCGGGAAAGCCAGGAGGAGGAGGACCGCCTCACATCTCATCCAGTGACCACAGGCAGCGACAGCAGCTGAAGAAGCTGCGCTTCAAGCGGGAAATCCATGCCCTGGCGCTGGAGGGCGGAGATGTGGCCAGGGGCTACTGCTCCTGCGACGAGCAGTGGACCAACTCCTCCTCGCCGACGTCCACCACCACATCGGCCACCATGTCGCCGACGTTGCCGGCAGCCGGAAGTGCCACCAACGGAGGCGGAGGTGGACGCCATGCCACCGGAAACGGCCCGGGAAACTCGAGCGGTATTGTCAAAATGACGGCCACGGCAACGGCGACGGCGGGAAAGCGAAGCGGGCGGCTCAAGCAGCAGCATCATGTGCGCTTTTCCGACGAGAAGAACTTCTCGGACTGAGAGGCGAAAAACAAACTACTAGACTGCACCTAATCTCTGTTTAGTCATAGGCTAACATATTCTCTTCCCCTCTTTTAAAGCAAAAAAAAAAGGGGAAAGTCAAACAAATCATCAGAAAACCAAAAAAATTATATTAAAAATCCGTAGATAAACGTACTCAACTAAGGAATCTGTACATATAGTTTGAAAGTGTTAGTTAAATATCTGTGTTTAGTTGCTCGATAGATCTGTTGTGAACCATATATAAATATATATATATATGAATATAATCAAGTAATCAAGTAAGCGTAGCACAAATGCATTTTTTCCACTCATCAGCTAATTGAAAGCAAATATTGATGGAGATTGTTGATAACGGAATTCTGTTGACGGCATTGTAAATATTCTAGTCAAAATAAACATAAAATGTGGTATTATTTACTGAAAGTAAAACGATGAAAATAAAATAATAACACACTAAACATACAAAAAAAAACACAAACATGGCTCAAAATAGATTAGATTAACAATGAAAGTAATGAGATGCATAATTGAAAACAAATAACTAGTTAATTATTTAAATTAATACTCTGAGGATGAAAAACAAACGAGGGACGCTTTTTTTTACTGTGTACAAAGCCAACCAATGCACTAAAGAATAAAAAAACAAGTACATAAAAGCTTAATTTAATGGGAAGTTTTCACACACAATCGAATTAATTATAGAACACACCGGGTAATTGTTGCTAGAATGCAACAAGTCAATTGGATTTCAAGGCTTTTAACTATTATTATTTCTTTTTTTACTTGACACTTTTCTTATTAAAATTCTACCAATGTAATAGTTACCTCCACCTACAAAACTGCCAACTTATCAACTCATTTATTAAATACATTTTTATTTGGTTTCTTTTTTAAATTACTCTAATAAGTCTGTATACTGCTAAGTACTCTTCCAGTTAATTTGTAAAACTTTCAGATAAAACCCATTAAAAGCGTCGCCAAAAAAACAAAATATGATATTTGTATTTTTAAGACTAAATTTATAATCGTCTAGTTTACAATATGAAAACAAAATGATTGCAAGACATGCAAAAAAAAATAATATAAGTGATTAATATGAAGTAAAGTTAAACTAAATGAGATATAAACAAACCATTAAACTAAAACAATAAAAACTAAATTAAATAAATACTTAAATATGAGTTTTTTCTATTCGTTTATTTTAGGGAAGCAAAAGAAAGGTAAGTAAATTTTTTATATTTCACCATTTTACTTTATGATTTCGAAGTTTTCATTATTTTTAAGGCATTGTGTGTTATAAGGATGTTATATTTCCTGATCTTATTTCCTGATTAAAAAAACATGTAGGCCCATAAAGAGCACCATAGGTGAATCGTTTTCGCATCCCATAACCAGCACTCAACTTCTGTTTTTCGTTTCGCAGTTTATGAACTTTGGGAATGCCTGCTAACAGCTAATAAAGACCTTAAGACCCCGCTTGAACCCAATCTAACCCAACGGATTTCAGGATTCATTTCGTTTTAAATGCCCTCCGTTTATGAGCAGAATTTTGGTTCGGCAAAATTTTAATGGCTCAAATTTTTATGGCAGCCAACGGCGGTTATTAAATCAAATTTTATGTCTGGCCAGCAATATGGCAGAGGAAAAGGACCTCCGATGGAGGGGAGAAAGTTTGCTAAGTTCGGGCTGGAAATTCAAGGTTCTTGGGGAATTCATTTATATCATGAAGCCGAAGCGAACACATCAAATATGTAACAAAGCCACGCCCACAGCCCCCAAAAACCGCCGTACTATCTGCTCTTGAAGCTTGTTTATGTTTGGCGAAAACTATTCCAATTAACTTGGCCAAAAACAAAAACAAGAAGGGCGGAAAATAGAAAATGAGAGCTTTAAAAAAAAAAACAAAACAAAAATGCCCGCTGGTCATTTTGTAACTCTTTTGTAGACTGACTTTTCCGCCCATTTTCCGCCCAGTTTGTTTGTTTTGTTTGATGTGTGTTGCATGCAACATTGTTTTTTCTCTTTTTGGTTTTCCAGTCGTTTCCAAAAAGGCCAAAGTTTTATGCGCAAATTTCATTATTTAAAATGTGTTGGTAAATGAGTATGAGCAGCAGAATGGATAAAGAGTGTACAGACATGCAAAAAAGACGAGCTTGCGGGCATAATTAATTTAAAATTAAACACACATCAAATCCGTTAAGCCATTTTTGATGGATACCAAAATTAATGGTAGTTTTTCGAGGTTTTTAAATTGTCATTCTATACGCAAGTGTTTTGTTAGTAATTAGGTTTATTAATTACTTGTCAAAAATGTTAGAATAATATTTTTATAGAGTAATTTGCTCGCAGGTTGAATAATTAAAATATAACTAAACTACTATTTAAAAATACATTGCCACATTTTGATTAGTTGAGTAAGGGTTTTTTAAATATTTCGCTGCATAAATCCCCAGACCCATATTTTCATTATAATAAATTGGAAAAATGGTGGCAGCTGAAACTAAGACCCTCCAAATCATTAGCCATTTTCCACTTTGTAGAAAAATCTCCATCAGCACCCCAAAAAAGCCAACTCAACGCCCCTGGAATTCTCCCCACTAACCACAACTTGCCGTAATGTCGGTTTCGAAGTGAATATTCGCTTTTAATGTTTGCTTTTTATTACAAACTAAATGCGAAAAATGTGTTGGCCAAGAGAGTTATGTGAGCAGAGGGTTCCGCTCGGTTCGGGGTGTCTTTGCTTGACACTTGCTACCTTTTTATTATAAATGTTTTATAGCGGGGAATTTTACAAATTACTTTTTGTGCAGCTCCAGTCATACACACATGCGGACATAAAAACTTGACGACAGGTGTGCCAAATTAGGATTATTATTTTAAATACCAAAAAAGCCAACGACGAATCCCCTTTGCATCCCGAATGCTAATTAATGCGTTAAGCAAACTGCGGAAATGTTATGATGCATTTAATCACGGATTTTGTTGACGCTTTTACGTACTTTTGTAGTAAAAAATGTGTTGTTTAAAATAAATATAAATAACAGCAATTTTTTATGACCTCTTTTGGTTTATTACAAAGTTTATTACATGAGCGCATTTTATCCTTTACATAATTCTAGTTCTTAAAAATATGTTTATATCCGTAAAGCTTTTAATTTATGCGCTTTAAACTCTAACTTGTTAAATGCATCAAGTAATTATTTGTTACCAAATCAGGGTAGGCCCTTAAATTTTCCAAACCAACCACAGCAGCAATTAATTAATTGAACGCAATATATATTCGGGCCTCTCAACTTGCACTTTTCGGCTCATTAAACTTGAAGTGTTACATTTTCGTAGGCTGAACTCGATGAAGGAGCCTAATTTCCGCTCAGACTTGACTGCTCATAAAAGTCTAAAGTTATGGCAATAATAGCAGCAGCAGCAGAAGGTACAACAATTTGTTTTTTTGCGCTGTCGTGTGGATGGCAAGCACATTTATATGTTTCCCACGGTTAACACGACGTATGCGTAATTTATGTCTCTTGACGGCAGCAGGTGTACAGGTCACATAGCGCGGTTTTTATATTTCTAAAGTTCAGTCGCCAATTTGATGAATGTTTGCTCTTTTTCACGGCAGTTCCATACGAAGATAGTGCCTTCATAAATTATCCACTCAGGAAAGCGAAATTTAATGAGAAATCAACAAGCTAAAGCCGCATTTTAAAAGAGGCGCGTTTGCTTGAAAGCTGGTATTTTCAGCTGCTAGTGCCGCACTGAAACATAGGGTTGGTACTAACTAGGCTTTTTAAACCCGTTACTTGTAGAGTAAAAGGTAATATTGTATTCGGGGAAAAGTATGTGTATCCCCATAATGTATATTTATTCTTTATCAGGATCACTAGCCGACTATATCTAGCCATGTTCGTCTCTCCGCGCGAACGGTCTGATCTCGGAAACTTTAAGAGCTAGGGAGATGAGATTTCGCCCACTCTGTCTCCTAGAGTCTTAAAACTAGAAAAAACCTTTTATTGCAATGTATTGCTTTCGTAAGTACCAATCGATTAATTGAAAAATGTTCCCACACTCTAACCCCCACAAGCCGACTACAAACCGCCTACAAACATCAAACGCTGATATCTCAAAATCAGAGAATAGAATCATAGAGTCGAATCATTGAATCGAATCATAGAATCGAGTCATAGAGTCGAATCATAGAATCGAATCATAGAGTCAAATCATTCTTTTGGGAAACTTTTTTTCAAATATGGTATTTGGACAAATCACTTAGTAAGTCGTACATCATAGTATTTCAAAATAACTTTTTCAACGACATAAAGCACCGTCTCTTGTTTCGGCAGCTCAAATTGGCTATTTATAGGTGTTTTACCGTTAAACTAGCGTGCTTTTCCAAAAACGGTAGAGCTAAAGTTTCTAACATTTAGCTGATTAAATTTGAAGGACCCTAAAACAACGTTTTCGGAGAAACTGACAAACGAAGTAAGGCCAATGTTGACCTTAACAGCAGATCTTCATTTCTTCGTGTTTATCTAGTAGTGGCCTTCGCACACTCTGCTGGTGCGCTTCGTCACTACGTGTACTGCCGTTCACAGTTGATACAAGCTATTTGCGAAGCGGATAAGCCTCCATTCTTCGGTATGAAGACCAATTCATTGCGACGGTTAATTAGGTGTCCACTATTTCAAATTGCCAATGATTGGGTCCTGTTTTGCGGATTCAAATTTTCCATTTATCTTTTTAAAAATGTTGCCACCTTCTCCCCCTTTTTTCTCCTATTTTTTAAATTATCCATTTTGTTCTTCTCTGTTCCTACACTTTTATCAAGCTCGAAAATGCAATATTTTTGAATCAAGGCGCCAAGTGTTCTTCCTCTTCATGAACGTGAGTCATAATTTTCCTGAGCTGGTAACACCAACATCGTCTTTCTCTTTGACTTATATTTCACATTGTGAAGTATATCTACATAAGATCTACATAGACAGGTACCCTATTTGGCCGCATTGGCGCTTTTTTCGTAACGGAAACGTATCACTTTAACCTTTCTGTTAATACAAGACCATAACTTAACAGAACGTAGAGTGACCTCAAGTACAACTGTTAAAAATACCGCAAAAGAGTGACCATAATTGAGCACAATAATAAAACCGAAACCGAGTAATTTCCGCCCCCGCAGAACTGGGCACACACAGTAAACCGACGAAAACGAAACAGCGCGATTTGGGGGGAAAATTTCACCGAACTTCGAACGCAGGCGGACGTGTCGCGGATGTCGGAAGGTGGAGCTCTTGTGAATTGTTCTTGTGCCGTGCCCCGCGCACAAAAAGCCAATAAGAGCCAAAAATAAGGGCTGCGCCTGCTGCCTTTTTGTGAATAAAACGGTTCGTTTTTACGGTTTTTCTACAATTTCTGATTCGTTTGCAAATACAACGCACTCACGCACACCCACACCAGCGCACAAGTGTAGGTGTGTGTGTGTGAAAACAAGTGAAACAGAGAGCTGGGAAAACAAACTGGGCTGCATGGATACTGGCTAAATATTGGATTAAAAATTAAGCTCAAATAAAAGGCATAATAATAATAACAACAAAAACAATCAATCGAAATGCGCGTGTGACAAAGAGCGTGAGAGAGAGGGAGAGAGAGAGAGCATCACTCACACACACACACGCTGACGTCGACGCGCTGTCTGTTCAGTGGAGCAGTGTTGCCAGCCCACAAAACAGCTGCCCGAGAATCCCAATTAAATAATTAATAAGTTCAAATCAGAATTTTAGTAACTGTGGCAGATTTTTTGCATTTGCACACTTAATTTCCCCCAATTCGGCTTATTGGCATTGGGCCTCTGCTGCTGAGTTGGCAACACTGGCCCCCCTCCCCACCAAAAAAGAGGAGAGAGAGAGCCCCAACGAGAGAGCAAGCGCGAGAGAGTCACATGCTGGGCGCTCATTTCAATTTTCCTCAATGAACACTTTTCACGGTTTTCGGTTCGTCGGTTCGCGTTTTCCACAGTCGTGCGTTGTTTTTGCTCGTGGAAAAGTTGTAAAGCCCAGCCAGCCAGCCAGCAAACACATAATAAATACAGCCAACATTTTATTCGCAGTGCATGCAGCGCGGGAGAGCGAGCTGTTAAATAATTTTTA